CATAGTTACAAAAGATGTTGCTCATTATAGTATTTTAGCCAAATGTGGACTGTTTTGCTAAATTCCTGGCGAGCACAGGCGACTCTCAGTTGAAAAGCTATAAAAGAACATGCCATCTCCATCAAAATTTATTCTCATACTTGGACAGGTAAAGTAACTGAAGATGAAGAATTACTTGACAAACCCCTAATATCTGAATTAGTTTTTGCGAGATAACCACCGGAAAAGAAACTGACTTCTCACCACCTTTACCTCTAGGGCTTTCTTTAATTTGATTACAGGAAAAGAAGAATATGAACTGTAAATGGTCGATAAGGTTCTTAAGAAACCGCAGTGGTTAAAGGTCTCATCTGTTGGCGCAATGACTTCCTTCGATCCTCCCAATTTGCGATTGATTGATGATTACCCTAAAATGAAGCTTAATTGGTATTCCGCCTAATTCTCTTGCGTTTTAAAAGAGGGGTTAAGCATGATATCAACGGGAAACAGCAAACAGCAAAACTTGAACTTTCGGAGTCTTTTTTTTTAGCAGCTTGTGCTTTGAGGTGAACATATTTGCATCGGCGCTGAACAAGAGATTTTTCTTCCTTCAATTTTGAACAGGTTCGATTGGAGATATCTTTTTTTTTCGTTTGCCGTTGAAGTAGAAATTAGATCTAAATGTAATCACTAAAAGTCAAATCTTCTCTGTCTTTAATTGTCTTCCCCCCCCCCCCCAATTTTCAAATTTACCGTCACTTGAGACCTCAACCAAAGGATAGGTGACATTCCTCTTGAGAAGAAAAACTTCTGAGGTTATGACCTACTATCAGAAAAAGAATTTGATTTGTGATTTTTAATTAGTGGTTCGCACGCAAGTTCATTGAGCCTTTGCTAGCTAATTACTCACGTCTAATGGATGAACATCTTCGCGACGAGATTATAACATAAATTTGCATTTAATACTGCTTTGATGTAATCTAGATGCCCTTCGGAACTCTAACGGCTATCCCAAACCGTTAAGCCCTTCAATTAACGGGATTCACGTGAGTTTAAGATCAGCGAGTCGCTCTCCATGAACTGATTATTATCTCTCGAGAAAGGTAAACTTCAGTTACCAATTTTTCAAACAAATGGAAAATCCAACACTTATACTGATTTTTGGAGGAAATGACACGATTTCAGGGTTTAACTGCACCTCGCCAAGCACACTAACGACGACTACATCTTTGAGAGTTGCAGTAATCGCTCGGTTCCAAATCCCTAAGTACGTCTTATACGTAATTATCTTGACCATAAGTATTGTTAGCAATACAGCCGTCGTACACATTATCAGGACTCAGAGGAAAGTTGGCCATCTGTGACGCCATTACTCCCACCATCAGCATCCCGATCGATTGGGTTTTTGAAGAATCCGGCTACAAGTGGACTTTTGGGCCAATCTTTTGCAGGATACTTTGGCCTCTACAGACAATGTTCTCCATTTCAACATCCTTAACGCTAACTACGATTTGTTAAGACAGATATCAAGCAATCGTGCATCCTTTCAAGGCCCGAAGGATCACGAAAACTCACACCAAGCACTACATCTTTGCAATTCATTTCACATCATGTGTGTTGATGATACCTTACGTTGGTGTGCTGAGGTTGGAAGGAAGTGATTGCCGTGAGAACTGGCCTGCTCCCGTCTCGAGATTCAGAAAAGCATACAGTTTGGTTCTGTTTCTTGTACAATATGGAATACCGTTGACTCTTATGGTCACTTTGCATTCTTTTGCGCTTAGGACCCTCCGCGGAACATCAAGTTATATGAAACCGCAAAGAAATGGAATTCAGAGGATAGAGAGATCGCAATCAGAGCTCTCTGCTATGAATCTTCTAGGAAGAAAAAGGAGCAAAAAATTCAAGTCACGAAGATGTTTGTTGGCTGTAATAGTGTTCTCGTTGAGTACGTTCCCCAACCAAGTCTTGTGGTTATGGGTGGATTTCGGAAATGGAAAAGATAGCGACTACTTTGCCATCATATCAGCTGTTTGTTGACTGTTCACATACTCAAATAGTGTCCTCAATCCAATTATCTATGGCTTTTATAGCCGTGAGTTTCGTTCCAGGAAGAGTTTGCTTAAGAATTCCACATGTCCCAAGTCCACGCAAAGACATGTTATCATGTTCACGTCCATGGCTGATCCTTCTGTTGCAAGAAGAGGTGGGCATGAAGTGGAATCAACAAACAGCGTCTTTAATGAAGGATTTGCTTCCCGCTGATACCTCGACATTGCAAATAATGACACAATTGACTTCAAGGAGAGTTCTAGAACTGAAGGTACACGAAATTCCTTCAAAGCCTCGATTCAATGAGCTCATTACCTTCCAAACGTCGTTGTCAACAAAACGCACTAAATTTAAAAGGGTTGAACCAAGTGGAAGCAGAATCGAAAGAATTAATTTTCATCTCAGCAGAACAGCCAGGTCTTTTACACAGAATAACAAAGAAATCATTCATTCGAACATATATTGTTTTCCATTTCTGTAAATCTCCTTACATCTCATCATAACATTTTGAGAAAGCAGATGTTGAATTGTTAGTATGAGGAGTGGCTTTTTAGGCTATGGGAAAATTTTAGAATCGAGTGCCTATATTTCAGTAATGCGGAATTTCAGTAATCTAACCTCACTTGCTTCAGTTTAAGCAAATCGTGCGATTTTTTAATATTATCGGTGACTCAAAAATATGAATCCTTGTAGTGTGGATTATCTTTCTGTTTATTTGTTCCATTTATTTGTTTATTTGTTCCATGCGCCGTATCCCTTGGATTACAAAGGCTACATACGGGCAAACTGACGTCGCCTTATCTCATCGTCTTACATATGGCCACATAGGCAGTATCAGAGACGTAAAGAGCTTGCGGTTTTTAAGTATAAAGTCGGGCGGTCGGAAGTATGTAAAATCGTTGACGTGTGAACGGCCTGTTATTCAAAAAAAAAGGTGATAGCTTTCCAATTTAGCTAGATAATGAAAAAAAGTGCTCAAAACCATTCATAGAAAGTCAAAATAACCTGGAACTCAAAAGATGAACCCTGTAACCCCAAAGAGTAAGAAGCAGCTAATTTACCCAATATTTTCATCCCTAGATGAAACATTACTTAAGAGTAAAGGAAATGATCGCAAATTCAAGAACTGCTTCATTTTTAGACAAATTCTCTTCGTAAGTGCCAGAGGGAATGAATAGAGCGCAGTATGGATAACTTTCATGCTGATGTTAGGTTGTGAGGGGTTAGTTTGGTTTTTCAGGGTATGTATTTGAACTGTATCAAACAGGAGAAATCCTCTCGAACTTTGCCGGTTATGCAAATAATTTCTTTTCTACTGTTAATCACCGTATGTTCTCTTAATTGCTGTCACCTTTCCATGATGTGGAATGGATCTAGAATGTGATATCAGTTTTAAATGATCTGATATCTCAAACAATTTATGAACTTCCTCTGCCGCGAACTTTCCTGCATTCGAACCAGTTTTCAAGTTTAGTTTGGTTTGAATCTTACCGGCTTAATTACTTCGGCGAAACAGAAAGACGACTTAGGCGACCGATCCAGAGAACGCCATGACGTAGAAAGGAATAACAAAGACACATAAAGATCAGTATTTTGACAATTTAATTTCCCTAACCATTCTAAGCACCATATGGCAGCCTTATGTAGCCTTTCCATACATTTACGCAATTCGGGAAGCCGCAAAACTCTAGAACAAAAATTTATCTTTCAAATCGGCACTCTTAATCCCCACAGTATCAACGAACTCTTTTCAAAAAATATATTCTTTTGTCGTATTCATGCTTCAACCAAAGTGCAGCTCTATCTTTCTGTGTATAAACCACACAAAACGCAAAATTGCTCTTAATGCTCTGATAAGTGTCTAACACTCGAAACGTCAGCTTTACAACCTCTTTGCGGCTGCCAATTTAAATTATCAACTCAGTTGATAAAACCAAATTACCCTGTTATACTCCCTCATAGACGCAGCACCACAGTTTCTTTAGAAACTTACCCCCTGCATCAATTACGTCTGACTATCACTACTGGGTGCTACTATGAATGTTTGTTTCATTGCTGACTGTAGTTCTACACAGCGGGTGTTCTAAACATCGCGTAGGCAAGTTTTCATACAAAACACTTGTATAAATTACATGATTTACCCGAATAACATGAAAACTGTAGTTTAGTTGTCCAGTTTTCAAAATTGCTCACCCCAAAACTCTCTTAAGATTTCCTTCTATATGATCCTTGACTATCAAAACAGTTTCTTAATTTTATAGCGGCAAACTGACCTAGTTAGGAAATATAGGGTGAAATGCTGAGTCATATGTAGTAAGAAAAGTTACAAAGATGCTAAATCCCGCCCCTCTTTTGCAATAAAATTTGTGTTAATGGTTTTTCCATGTCCACTTTCCTGCTGACGGTGAGTACAAAGGTAATTCACCATCACTATTGTCTTCCCCGAATCATCAATCTTTTAAGCGATATTGCAAGATTAAAACGTTAAAAGGAGAAGTAAAACGTCGGCGCTATTGGCTGCTTCGGTTGAAACAGGCAGCTGATTTTGCGAGCGAATTACCACCAACCACTCACGTCAACTTTAGATCGCCAAGTCGCATGATATTCATAATGACAGATCTAGTTGTTTGTTGATCAGCTAAAAAAAAAAAGCATGAATGTCTATAGAATCAAACAATTTATTTTTTTTACCTTATGTCATCGTTTAAATTTACTAATCAGGCGGCTGCAGTTTTTGTCTGTCCACATATAAACTTTGAAATTATTGCATGCCGTGTCTCTTTGTGGACTTCCCGAACGGCGTCAGTTGATTAAACATTCACAACATTATCTGCCTGTTGATTGGTCGTCAAAGCTTTTAGTAAATTAAACTGTAAGTCGCATATTAAAGATTTAAGCAACCTAAAAAGGTCTAACACATTTTAATAGTCGAATTTCAGAAACTGGATCTGACTAAGGAGGAAACAAATATGACCAATGTATCTCTTTCAGATGACGCTACAAGAAATGCGGATCTTCATTTACATACAATTTATCCGCCACCAGAAACACTGGGCTTTAAAATCCCAAAGATAGTCTTGTATTGTTCGATACTCCTCATCTGCACAACTGGAAATGCAATGCTAATAGCGGTAATTCTTAGCTCAAAGCGCATGAGGTCTCTGCCAAGTAACATTCTCATTTTAAATCTGGCTTTTGTTGACTTATTAACCTTGATTATGAGTATTCCCTTTGATGTTGTGGTGGAAGAGAACCACTACATCTGGCCTTATGGAGATGCTTTGTGCAAGCTGTTGTTCCCTGCAGCTACTCTTCTTTCCACTTGTTCATCCCTCACTTTGGCCGCCATTTCGCTGGATAGATACCGGACATTGCTTCATCCTTTTAAATCAAAACTCTCGGTGATCCAAGTAAAATGTATCCTTGTAGCGGTGGATTGTGTTTCTGTTTTATTTGTTGTTCCATACGCCGTGTTCCTTGGATTACAGAACAATATTTGCATTGAAGAATGGCCAGGGTTTTTGTATCGACAAATTTACACAGTGTTTTTGGTCTCTGTGCAGTACGCGCTTCCTTTGCTGTTCATGATGACTATGTACATTCTCGCTTCTTCGAAACTTTACACTGCGACCAAGAATGTAAGAAAAATGTCAATCTCCCTTGAAAATGACAGACGCCCATCCACGTCCTTCAGAGAACGTCTCGTGCGCCGAGAAAGCTTTGCCGTGAGCCAAGAACAAAACGTGAAAGTCACAAAAATGTTTGTAATTATCGTCGTTGCATTTGCCATCTGCACCCTTCCTAACCAAGTGCTGTGGTTATGGATCGATTTTGGCAAGAACGGTGATGTCACCTCCCTTACGAAAGAGATTATAATCTGTCGGTTCTTCACTTACACTAACGGTTGCCTAAACCCTATTATATTTTTCACATTTAGACGCGATTATCGTCGCGGTTTGCATAAAATCCTACGGAGAATGACCGGGAGAAGACCAGAGACAAACTTGGAGAGGATACAAAGACTTTGGAGCAAATTTGACGTTACCCCGCAGGTTGGCGGCGACACGAAGCTTGCGCGCCAGAGGAAAATGGGAATTCAGGAAAGCGGTCCACTCGTTGATCAAAATAATCCTAAATTTTCTATCGAAACATGTAGCAAATCAACACTACAGTCACAACTACACAAACGTGAATCTTGCCAGGCAGAGCAAGCGCTAAAAGCCCGCCATGTGATTTCAACTACAAGTGCAAGAAAAGTGTCTCAAGATGAAAGCATAGCAACTTCGTGGGTTTAGCCCTTCAATTCCCAGAAGCGATTGATAAACAACCTCTTCTCACGAAATGTGATCCAGGATAATAATACTGATAATGATGCATTTATATCGCGTATTTTCCATATTGATAATTAAGCTCTAATACGTTCTACAACACTTTGCGGGAGACTTTGGTGGTCAGAATACATTGAGCAGTTTGAAATTTTTGACGGAAATTTTTGATGGAAATTTTTGCAGGTGCCCCCAATTTGAGAAGTTTTCGAAGCAAGGCCAGACTACAATATCTGAAGTAACGTTATCTACTTTCTGCGAAAAGTGCGTGGGTTCTTTAACGAGAGAGGAATCGAAAAAAAAAAAAGTCAGAGGCTGAATGTTATCAGTGTTACAACACTAAACTAAAATGGTATCGATGTCACGAGGCCCATGCCCCCGGTCGAGATCGTTGCATAATTAAATGATATCTGGTCTTATTCAGGACGTTAGTACGTTTTCCTGGAAAGGAAATTACTGATGTCTAGCTGAAAGGGGAATCAGCGTGCTTATGCGTCTGCACTTTTCATTCCATCAACGTGCCGGTAAAATTTTAAACTGTTGAAAACCAAGTTAGGAGACGATATTTCGACTTGTGTGGGGTAGCATAACGTGCGCGGTATAGAATGTAGAAGTTTGGGTAATCGCATGCGTAAGTTTGGGCAATGACTTTATTTCAAATAAAATTTGGAATTTATAATGTCGATTAAGTTGACTGAAAGCACCACCAAAATTCACCACGAGCCTGAGGGGCGAGCGGTGCAATTTGTAGTCTTTGTAAAAATACACGTGAAGCTATGTATTCTAAATTGCACGTGGATATCCATGTGATTATTTGTTAATGATATACATAAAGACGTTACGAGACAGCTTTTCATAAATACGTAGAAGCAGAGATAGCGACTAATTCATTTAAACGCTGTAAATGTCATGGTACGCCTTCTAAATTAAAACAAAAATTTTCCAAATGTTTTCGAACGTTCACTTTAAGCCCCGAAAAAATTGAAAGCTCGGGTCAACAGCTTCTTACCTTCAAACGATGTAAATGTCATCGTGCACGTGCTGAATCAGAATAATAATTTTACAAATGTCTTCTCACGTTCAGTATAAGCCGCCAAAAAGTTCCAAGTACGGGTAAACAGCTTCTTGCTTTCAATTTGCACTGAATTGATTCTTCTCTGCACTTATTTACCTCTCTTGAGCATTGCGATGCTAGAAAACTTAATTCCACTCAGGAAATACGACAGACGGAATTTTCTATGTATATTATCAAGGTAATGACAGTCTCGTTTTCACAATGAGGTCAGACAGCGTAAAACGATGTTAATTCCCGCAGGAGCCTGATCTCCGTCAATGATAAAAATTTTCTCAGTGACTCTTCCCTAGAGAAATGGAATTTCCCTAACCAATTGAAAACGAAACCTCGGATAATCTAAGGACATCCCACTTACATTGTTTACCGTTTCCATCTTTTATCTTTGAATCGCAAACAAACTTTGAGTAAAACATCTCACTAAATTCCACGACCGTCCCAAGTTGTCTTCACAAAAGATAAAATTCTTTCAAATCTCGGTGACCTAAACATCTCTTTCAGTTATCAATGGCAATACATCTTTACACATGGATATAAGCGTTATTTTCATTTCAATATTCCCCCTTCTTGTCACCGAAAAATATTAATTAATTTTAATCAACGTTTTTTTCCTGGTCCAAGGGATATTTTTTCCCTTTTATAACCTTCTCCTATCTAAGAATACCATCTAAATGACGTTAACGATGTAAGTTCATTGATAAGCCTGAGTTATTCAGCGTTGAAATATCCCTTTACTAAGAATTTATAAAAAGGAAAAAATGTGCAAAAATAACCTAGGAATGCTCAAGTTATCAATCGGTTCATATCTCGATGAACGCACAGCTGACCTATGAACCAATTGTTTTATAACATTTTCAACCTGATAATTTTTTTTTCTCGAGGGATTTGTTTGCGGACGTCATGAGCGTGCACATTAGGAATATGAAGCACGCTCGCGCTATTGAATTTGATTAGACAAATTTTCTAGCTATGTTAGAATTTAAAGCGATCACAACATCATATCACAAAACACGAAGCAAAACAAAAAGATATCACGAAAACTTTAGATTATCAGTGAAGGAAAGACCTTCATCATGATCAGTTTTTTGAAAATGCGTCAGACTGGGGAAAATTTGATAAAAAACTGAGCAAGAAAATTTGCTGAGAAAAATATCAGCGATGATGAGATGAGAATAAATTTAGTGAAATGACTGAAGTTCAAAAAGGGTTTTTAGGTAGAGAGTTTCGTTTAAGCGCTAGATCCTCGGCAAACCTCTCCCCAACTCGTCTCGCGGGCGGAGAAACGTACGTCTTGCGGCGCCAATAATGAGGACCTAGCAACCTTTGAATCTAAACATAGCGTGACAAATTTAATTTTTGATGATGATTGATTGATTTTGCATGTGTTTATTCCGTGCTTTGAGAGATGTTTCTGTCGTCCTGCTTGTGTAGAGATTTTTATCATCTGATGTCATGGGACAAGTCTTGAAAAATTAGAACTAAAACATGTAACGTGTAAACATGAAAGTAGTCTTCAAATCAGACAATTCTCCATTCGTGCAACTTTTGACAGGATTCATTCATTTGTCGACGCTCAGAATCCCAGCGGCGAGCCATTTGACCTAGGGCAATGATTTAAGAGCTAATCAAGCGCCTGTTTTTAAGATTGTTTACTAAAATATTCAATTAACACATCAAAACAAAACGATCTAATCACTCAGGACACTGCACAGTTGGAGTTCCCGCAAAACTTAATTAACAATTACACGGGCCAAAGCGAGTACTTTTAAGCAGTTTTTTATTGTCTTGATGATAGAATTTTAACAGCTGAAAAGATCTTTCAGTCAACGACCCTCTCGATATCTGCTAAGCAAGAGAGAAAGCGATCATAAAGTTGTTTCTAATAATAATCAGATTAATTATAAAGCGCTTAAAACTGTGCACTTTCAGTTACGGCGGATGAACCTAGCCCCCTTAAATTTCAATCAAGTCTGCATTGAATAATATATTTGTAATTTGATGTATTAACATGTTTTTCATGTCTGTTGTTAAGGAGATTAAATTTTTTTTCGTGACAACAAGACGGTCCATCTTATACGTATATACATATACATGTATAATTATATATGTGTGTATGTATATATATATATATATTTATATATATATATATGGGTGTATGTATGTATGTATACATACATACATCGATAAGAGACTTGAAAAGTGAATCACGAATAAATGAGGAAGTCGTAGCATAAGGTAAATACTTAATAAATAAGATGAAGTGGAATCTTGGACTATTGGACTATTTTTTGGACTTACTTGTTTTTCATGTCTGTTGTTGAGGAGATTACGAGCTTTTTGTCGTGATAACAAGATGGTCCATCTTATACACACACACACACGCACATACACACAAATATATAAGCGTCTTGAAAATTGAATCACGAATAATTAAGAAATTGTTTTGAAAATGTGTCAGTAAGTTGTATTTGAGGTCACATTGACGCAGGTTCTGGGCATTTCCTTTGAAAATACCGCTCTACAAAATATTTACGGTACGGTGAGGTTAAGGCTACAGTTTCTTCGGAGAGACACAACTTAACCTTCTCTTGTCATTCTAAAAATTTTGATTTTCAGAAATTCTTTCAGTATTTTGATAAACCTCACGAATAATTTCCTTACTAACAGTCTGTCTGGGGAAGACCCGCAAGTGACTCTAACCTGTCCAACTCGATGGTTAAATCGCTTTCGTAAAAGGAAACGTTTATAGATATTTTGCAGTTAGCATTCGAAATGCAAGGATCCGAGGCACTGTTCAAAGCTGGGAAACCCAGCGTATCTCCACTGAGATAGTTCGAAACATGGGTCGCTTTCGAATGACTACACGGTTGGTCCATTGAAGGGATATCCAAGCACTTTTTCATTTTGTTGCCGTTATGATTTGTATTTGACTGGTGATCCAAAAAGTTCCCTGAATGTCTTGGAATACTTTGAAATGATCCTCTGGGTGTTAGAAACCTTGGTGTGCTCAATGACCCACGTGGTGTCAGCCACAAAGGAGCGTACTTTCCATTTCCAACGGGAGAACTGCTGTTGGATTGCAGAGAGCTATCATCTCCGCAAGAGGATAGATGTCTGGAGACGGCCACAAACCCCTGGTGAAAATCGCGGTTAAACTTGTAGAAGATAAATGGATTCAAACAGCTATTGGCGTATGTAAAAAGACGGCAGATGACGGCTATAGTTGGGTAGAGTCTGTGGGTTTTCCCTCCAGCAAAGTCTCCCCAAATCCATAGGACCTCAATGGGCAACGTAAACAAAGCGAATATCACAACGATGGCCACAAAAACTTTAGTAACTTGAGCGTTATGGTCACGGTGCTGACGAAAGTGTTTATCTAGGGTGTTGTTTAGGCTTCCATCCTCTGAGGCTTTTGGACTGTTGTCCGGTTTTGGTGACCCATTTCTTCTATCCTTCGACGATGCAGATGAAAACGATAAGGAACGTGCCTTGCTCGTGGTCATGAAGAGATTCCTTGCTGTGTGGATGTACATGAAGGCCATGAACATCAGAGGGAGAGCGTACTGGGCAAGAAACAGAACAAATGTGTAAATCTTGGAGAGGACTTCGTTAGGCCAAACTTCTCCACAAACGGAATTTGGTGACAATCGCGAGGTTATCAAATAGGGAATGACCAAGATCCCTGAAAAGCAGTGAACAAACGCAATAAGCTTCTTGACGGTTCTTGTGTCCAAACGCTGCTTGAATGGATGCATCAGTGTCCTGTATCGATCCAGTGAGATTGCTGCCAGTGTGAGGGATGAAGAAGTCGCAAACAAAGTTGCGGCCACTGGAAACATCTTGCACAAGAAGGACCCGAATGGCCACTTGCCACTGTTTTCTACCAACGCCATTTCAAGAGGAATGCTAATCAGTGGGGTAAGCAAATCGCACAAAGCGAGATTCACAATGAAAAGATTGCCGGGAACGCGCTTCAAATGTTTAAACCTGCAAATTATTGTTATGACCAAAGCATTGCCTACGATGCTTAGGATTAAGATGATAACGTAGAGAAGAGTCATTATCGCTTTGACTGCCATCTGGTCGCGAAACAAGTTTTGTACGTTTGGTTCTGCTGTCGAGTTCATCTTGCCTTCTCTGAAATGGTGAGATATTACGCTGTGCACAAGTTCTTTAACACTGGGGAGAGTGATGCGTCGGGTAATACCTTGCAAGAAGGCTTGGAATTTCCTTCAGCGTAAGAAATTAATCCAGCTCACGTACTGAAATTCCTTGAAGCAGATAAACAGGATGCTAAAGTGAGTTCGTGGCATGTGTTTACGTAAAACTGAACTTGTAGCTTAAGGTAATTTCATACTAAATGGCCGAAAGCGATGTAATAAAATGATCTGATAGCCACTATTACCCCCTCGTAGTGGGTGTCAAGTTTGCTGTTTCATCATCGTCGAAGCTTGAGCCAAGATTTTTTTCCTTGCTTGCACCGGCAACAATTTTGATCCAACTTAAGTCAAGATCAGTTTTATCTCTTCCAGCTCTTAAATTTCAATGTTCGAAAGTTGATGCTTATTTAATCACACTTTAAGACAATATCAAAGATATCTCTTAATTTATTTTAAGGCGTTTAACCTAGGTCGCAAGTGAGATGATCTGTTGTACAAATGAATGATGACGCAGAAAACGTGCTTTGCTCCGAATCCAGTTGCGTCGCACGTACCATCTAGAAGAATTTCATAAACCCTGCAAATTAAATATAGAACTGTTTCATCGAAATTAATTATGTAATCACCTCACATAAGTAAATATCACGTTCAATAAGCGGATCAATTGAAAATTTAGTTTGCTTTGTAGAAATATATTTTGAGATGTTTACAAAAGCAAAGTATAGGTTAAAATCAAAAGGTTTGCTATGCTTGTTATTTGTATTGTTAGTCTGACCTTCTATTCTGATCCGGCAAAAGAACACACCCGTATAGCTTTTATCTCCTTTAAATCTATTTGGTATAACGGAAAAGTAAAAAAAAAACAAAAAAAAAAAACGGTAGATTCGTTTAAAATCCTTCTCAAAAATTGGCATATATCTTTCTGTTTTGTCAGGTATTGATAGTCTCCTCTTTTCCCACAAGAATAACATAACGCGTCTTATTTCCAATTGCGGTTTGAGTAAAAAAACACCATATATTGTCCGTGAGCGTCCAAACAGATCAAAGAAGTCAGATAATTTCTGTTTGTCTGAGCGTTCTCAAGGAACCATTTACAACCGTTACCAAGGTGTCAGTAGCACTTCAATTGAGTAGTAAAAGAGATTTAGGATTTTTGAATGCGTAGTAATTGCTTGGTTTATGTCTTAAGTTCAACAGACTTTCATTACGAGAAAAAAAAAATTGGGATTACCCGGTTAAAGTCTGTTTTGTTGTTGAGGAAGCACGCTTAAAGAGACAGCTTTTAATTGGAATGAAGCGTCATAATGTTATATCGTCTGTTCGGCTCAAAGGTTTTGGATTGAGCGCTTCTTTTACCAGAAGTTCAACCGCTAATACCACTTGAATTGAAGATCATTTCCTTGTCTCAATTTCCTCCTTTCAACAGCGGTCAAAGCAGATCTAAGCACAAGAACATTAGAACCTGTTGATTTGCTCTGATTACACAGTTGAAAAGATACCGCGTAATTGCTTTGAACAAATTGAATTAAGGAACCAAAATAAGGTCACATCGAAAGGATCGTGAGTTTGTTTATTCTTACGGAATTAGTTGATTAATCCATGAAACATCATATCAATATCAGTTAACCCTTTCACTCCCACTAGTGATCAAGACAGAATTTCTCCTTACACTATCAGTACAATATCAAGAAGATAAGTGATGAGAATCGAGAAAAATGTCAGTTTGGGGACCATTGGTTGATCTAATACCAAATTATCCGAACTAACATCATGAAAATTCTATGGTAAATAAAAAGGAAAATTACTAATGAGATCGTAGGAGTGAAAGGGTTAAAGAGTGAGGGACAATTTACTGCAGTTGTTGTCGATCTGTTTTCAATTTACCTATTGACCTTGTTTGTTTGAAAACAGAATAGGAAAGATGCTAAATTTTGAGCTCGGTAAAGAAATAGCGAAAGAAGTTTTCTCGTAGAGTCTCTGAGGTCCAGTAGTGTAGCATTGGTGCGCGGAATCTGAAGGTCTGAGGTTCGATTCCTCAAGGGGGGGCTCGGGATGTTTTTTTGTCGCAGCTCGCGACAAGACGAGAAGACATATTTCGCTACTTTGTTTTCAGCATCATCTCGCCTGGTTGTTTACCTCATCGAAACCGGGTGCCACTATGATGAATTTCTCTGTTTGTTTGTTTGTTTGTTTTTTTTTTCCAGAAAGATGTTTTTCGTCTAGTTAAAAGTGTAGGGCAAGATAAATATTTGCAGATTCTGCGCTCCGATGCCCTACAGTTCAGAGGAATAATTCTATGGTGACATAGGCCAGCTGAAGCACTTGATGTGAGATAGAAAACATGGTGTACGAGGAAGAACAACCTTATTCACTTTTACTCACTTGTACTTTAATTTACTCGTGCTTCTACCAACCTCGATTCATAAAGGAAACAGAAGTCGGTATTGGTGTCGTAGCTGTTGTCGATATACACGACGTTGTGAGAATGAATGAGTATTGCAAACTGAAATTAAAACAACTTCAGTCATTCTAACGAACGATAAATGCTGATGTTAACTCCAAATAACCCCTTCCGTGGGAGGAACTTAAAATTACCAAGTAGTGCGATTAAAAAAAGGGAATGAAAAGAAAAGGCCTCTGACTAAAGAGGACGGCAAAAGTTAGAGAAAACTAGCACAGTTTTTCTCTGATAATATTCAAATCAGAAAATTCATGTTAAAAAATTCCTTGAGTGGAAAGATCTTTCTCATGCATAAGAATTGCTACAGTTGTTTTAATTTCAATTTGCAATACTCGTTTTTTGATGAATCAATGTGATAAATACCTTATGCATGTCAAGGAAATACCGTTCATGGAAATCATTACAAGTATTTCCGCTTCATTCGCCTTTATGAGCTGTTGATCATATTCAATCCTGTTGTTGAGACCTAATTAATCATTATGACAAATCAGAAAATTCCAGGAAGACATGCCCGAGCAAACAGGAAAAGGACAAAAAAGCCGTGTTTGTAACAGAAGGTTCATTGCCGTTTAGTCTCCAGTTAATTAAAAATAGCAATATCAGCTTCAAAATTCAAGACAGCCTCATGTTAACAAGCATTTCGGAATAAAAGATGATGTTTGTTCGATATGAATATGACTTTCACTGTAATGTTTAGAGTTCCAAATAACTCACCTCTTAGATTTTAAAATTAGTGGCTTGAACATGTCTCATCCTATGTCAGTTGTTTATCGTCAAAAATGAATCCTTCATGTTTTCCACTTACAGTCCAAGCGATCCTTCGCCAGCCTTTGCGGATCTCATTTCTTTTTCGCCTGATCTTACTTCTTTGGAGTTTGGGAGACGACCACACTTTATGAGCCATGTCTACTGTGTCGAAGGCGAATACACGTTCTTTAGAAGCCGTTGAAGTTTTCTTGATCACTGAGATCCTTGCTCTTCTGTGAGTGTTCCTCGTCCTGAGTAATGCGATTGCCTTTCTCAGTGATACTGAACACAGGAATACTATTTTCAGCGAGCAAAGTCAACGCCTCATAACACTTGAAGGAAAATGTTTTTGCCATTGATTGCCTTAGAATCCTAGCGTGGAAGACTACAAAGAGTGACTAACTACTAAGAGTGACTGACGTTTCGAGCGTTAGCCCTTCGTCAGAGCTATGACGAAGGGCTAACGCTCCAACGGTGGCAAATTTCCGTTATCAGTTGATAATACCAAATTACCCTAATATACTCTCCCACGGACGCAGCACCACAGTTTCTTTAGAAAGTTACCTCTTTAAGAATTTTGCTGTTTGGTTTCTCGCACAGGCATGACTTGAAAAAAAAAAACCATACGGCCCTGCCAAGTTGTTTTGATAAAATGATCTTTTACAAAAGATCTTAAAGGCTGGAGGTTATGAAAATGATGCGAGTTTATCCACTAAGTAGATCCAGCTGCTTTCTACATCGGCAGCAAGCAGTATCTTTTTGATGTTGACTGCTGTTCTGCTTGAGGTGTGCCGCCGTTTTTTCATATCCGGGCTACGTGCATGTGTGAAGAATGCTGAGTTGTTCAAATGTACACCTTATGAGCAGTGTAAACTTTACCTGTGATTCCTCTTGCTCCTACCGAAGAAGAAGAAGTCTTAAACTACCTTACCACCCTGGGGTTTCCATGACCGATCGCGAGCCCTTACTTCATCTGAGGAGGAGATGGTTTTTACCGCCAGCGAGCCAAGAATCACTTTAATTTGTAGTTCATGAAAAGCTCTTTTTTAGCTGACCCTCAAAAGGTTATGGCGCATGCTCCATAGTTTCATTGCAAGATCGACAACCGCTTTTTGTTCAAAGTTTCAACGTACCAATAGTTTTCTCCACTCTGGAAGGGTGCGACGGTTATGCAAAATAGCTGATTCATACGCTCAGGCTTCCGTGATCAGGTGATGATGCCATCTGTGAGGACAGAAAGCCGATTATTAATAAATTTAATCATTCCTCGGCAGTGACAGGCCACGCGAGCATACAGTTTGAGGAGGAGGGTTTGGCTAGTGCCAGCTCCCTTCCAACTTTTCTTTGAATCGAAGGAGTCCTGGACGAAAATAATGTAATCGCGGCATAAACGGCTTCAGAGCAAAATATGGGATTGTCAAAGTTATTTCTGCTCATAGTTGTTTGACATGAATTAATATAAGCTCTTAAGAATTTATTTAAGAAAACTAAATTTATCCAATTAAAGGGAAGAACTGCGAAAAAAGAAAAGATTTCTCTTTCTATTCATGATCAAAACCCATGAGTGTCGAAATGAAGTAAAACGCATGGCGAAGTTTCCCACAGTGAGACTCTTCCTTTATATATTTCTATTTCGACAACTTGAAATTCAGCTTAAGAAAACTGACATTTTAGAGGGTGACTCAAGAACTTTTTTTGCATTTGGTTTCGCACATCGAGAATTTTAGGGGAGTGAAATCAAGAAGGCGAAGCAAGGCGAATGAATTTCTCTGTTTGTTTGTTTGTTTTTTTTTCAAGAAAGGTGTTTTTCGTCTTGTGTAGGACAAGGTAAATATTTGCAGATTCTGCGCTCCGATGCCCTACAATTCAGAGGAATAATTCTATGGTGGCATAGGCCAGCTGAAGCACTTGATGTGAGAAAGAAAACATGGTGCACGAGGAAGATTTGTGTAAATAATCTGAGGTTTTTTCATATAACATATGGCAATACTTATAGATATCGGTATACAAAAAGACGAATTACTGCTTCCAGACTTCTTTCCGCTACGTTAGTAGTGATGACGAGAATAAGGAAGATCCCAGACGAGAAAACTGCCTTTTTCGTCCACGTTTCACTTGGCGCAATCTTGTGCGATTTTCTTAAGAGTATGTTAAGAGTATTTTCCTTGGGATCAATGAAAGAAGATTGTATTATCTTGTGATATCAGGCGTTTTCAGTATTTTGTCGAGGGAGGGCTATGGTGTGGCAGCACAAGAACCTGCAGATCGAAGAGAAAAGAAAGCCTTTAAAAGAAGTCATTTAATTTCCTGTCAGATCCTGATATCGCTCGTACTTGTTTTAGGGAGCAATATATAAACCTTTTAGATATCACAAACCTGATAAGCTTTCAACAAAATGCGGAAAGCTTAGTCGGACAAAAATTCCGACGAAAAGTCAGCCTCTCAGCATATTGTGCTATTTCAAGAATTCATCATACGTATTCTATCTCTGTCGGTTAGCTAACACGGTAAGATCAATGAATGAGATAAAATGAAGGCTGAAAAAGCTTAATAAATTCCCTGCATCTTCACAGCCGTTACCTTCAGCAATTCAAGTATTTGATTCCTTAAAAATATGTTTACAATAAATTCTAGTCGATAATAATCAACATAAGATATTAAAATCGCAGAAAGATGATAATATCTATTTTAAACAACTCCAGCTGAGTTTTAATTTAATTTCTTAACAACAATGAAGGTTTGCCGGTATTATAAAGTTACAGCAAACACCTTCAGAGTTCCTGTACTCTTTTGTTCCCATCTGTTGTCGGTTGTAGGCAGTTTGGCCAAAATCTGTGGTGAGTGTAAAACCAAACCACTTTGGCCTTTCTGTTTTGATGTGCCATTTACTTTGCTCATTTTGACCCCAATAATTATGAAATTTTTCTGATACTACTGGGTAATGTTATACCTCTGTTTCAAATTAATTTAAAGTGAGGAGGTTTGTTTTCGTCAAAGTGGTTTACCCTACTCAGTTCATACCCCCAGGCCGAAACGAGGGCAAAAGGATATAGATTTACTTCAACGAAACATGACAACCGCCACGAATGAACCACAGATTGCTATTTCCTATATAGCGAAAACATTCATGAACTTAACTGTCGATGCGTGATTTATTTAGAAGTGATCTCACTTGTCAATTTGCTTGAGAAAATTCGGACGTGTCTTGCACCGATCTTGATTCAAAAATGGCTCCAAAAAAATTCCCCTAACCATACCCTAACAATAAAATTAAGATTGCCATAAATGGACCAAAGTATTTGACTCCTTCAGCCTCAAAACAATTCTTTCTGAAAATAAACTTTTTCTTAACCCCATGATATTTTCAAAATTTAGAAAATCAAAAATTGCAGCTCGAAAAAGTTCTGTTTAGGCCGGGTGATACTGACTCAACAGAAGCTAGATAAATGTTATCATTCGTAGTTTTATTTGCTTGGCACTCAATTTGAAAGTTACTGATTGTAGAGCTTGTCCGAATATATGCGTACCTTTTCTGTGAGGTTTAACCGCCTTCGATATGGATTCAAGGTTGTTGCCTCACGTATAGAAATCAACCGCTGTCGCAATAGCGAATACTCCAGTTCAGGTGCGAAGTTAATTAAAAACATATTTAGTATAACCATCGTGGGGTTTCAAAGTGGGCATGTTTATTTTTGAGCAGGTCATAGAACTTTCCTATCTCGTTCTCAAAAAGTGCTTTTAATTCAAACCAAAGGCAATGGCCTCAGCACTGACTGGTACCGAAGCAATTAAATTTAACATGATGGTAATTTAATAAGATATAACTTCTCTTAATTGCTTTCTTTTAGTACAACATTATTATGAAATCAAGAACGCACATCTTAATCTTCATTAAATCTCGAGTTTACTCTCGTTTGCCCGCCTCCAAGTACAAAAAATTAATTAACTACGAAACATGCTGTGCAACCACAATGAAAATCACTGCATGTGAAATTTTTCTATTTTGAAAACTTATTTCCCGTGTCTTACAGAAGAAAAGAACATTCGATAGGGTTGACCTCAGTTGTCAAGTTGTTTGTTTAACTCTAGACGGCGTTCATTGTATCAGTTTATAAATATCCTGTGTGCTCGGCCACAACGGTTAAGAAAAGCAATACTAGCCCGAATTGCATGTTTCAAAAGGTACATCTTTTATTGTTTACTATAAATTCTATGTTATTTCCTTACTGTTCTCAAAGTAAGGTTATCAGGTCGAAATTTTCTCTTAATTTAAAATAAACAAATCCCTAATCATAACAAAATTTGGTTAAAAAAATCTACAAAGTAATTCCTATGTAAATAATCAGTCTTTTGCATAAGAGCTTTATTCAAATACTGTTTGTTAATAGGATCTCGAAAACTTTACGCGAATCGCATTTGCAATTTTCATTTCCTTTACCAAATCTCGAAACAGATAAAACGGAAAAGCTTGCAAAGACTTCCTCTGCACGTATCAGAGGGAGTGTTTCAAAATAAGAAAATTTGTCGAAGTTGCGACGAATTACGATGGATGAACAAACTTGAAAAAAACCAGGCGCTTATTGACAAAATGAATGACGCATTTGAAAGAGATTTACAATGGACTTGTCGCCAGCTATTCAAAAGCAGCGACTTAATCTGTTAATGATACATGAGGCAAACCCAAATAAAACATTCCATTCTTGAAATTGTGTCGAGAACTAGCACTCTAAGCTGAAATTTATGTTGTTCTGTTAATGAGAGAAATGTCTGGAACGATAAATATCGACCTAAAACAATTCATTTCAACGTCTAGTCATTTTGAAATAATTTGTAAATCGCTTTGAACAGGAAATGTAAAAACACATGATGAACCGGTTCTTGTCAGTCAACCAAGTTTGTTTGCTAATTTACCCTCTTAAAATAAAATTCTTTTGTTATGCTCTCCACGATGGGGGGAGACGTTGTCTTACAAATGGCTTTAAAGAAATCTTACCATCTCCCACAATGTTCTGGGTTTATTTAAAGAATTGTCTCTTTTTCCGCGCTCAACTGGGCGCTTAAAATGTTCTTCTCCTTCAAAGGGAATGGAATTTCCCGTTGCGTTCCGTACTGACTGCTTTTGTCTCCTCTGGAGACGTCAAGTTCGCGGCAGAGTTTGTTCAAAAGAGCTTCCGTTTCTCGTAGCCATATCATAGTATCGCTATCTGAGTCTTGATGTAGAAGATGGCTGTTTAATGAGTTATCATACAGCGAGTTACGAATTTCCGGCTTAGCGGCGACGCTTTCTTTAGGAATTTTATCACCGCTTGGTTTCGTTTTGTTCAAATTGTTGTTTTCTTCCGTTTCACTTTTCGTCCTGAATTCTTTTGTTGGCAGTTTAGAGATGGACTCTTGATCTAAGTTTGTCCTTAAAGCTCCTTGGTGTACCACACCATTTCCGTTACGAATTAAGCCTTCCCTTCGCAGGGAGAAATGGACAGAATTTGCATGTGTACTGTTTTCTTTAAAGCCCGAAGAACCACCATACAAAGGCGTTGAATTTGTAGACAACATTGTCTCAGTTCTTCTAATTTCTGCTTCCCTCACCTGTTTTCTCTGACTCGCCTTGCTGCACTGACACTTCAGCACTGACAAAACGCCGCGGCGAAAATTACCGTTACACACACCATAAACGAGTGGGTTTAATACAGAGTTCGCGTATGTAAAAGCGCGGCATACAAAGACTACGAGGTCTTCATGTTTCTGGAAACCAGAGGTGTTGCTAGCATATTCGTAGCTAAGCCAGAGCAATTGATGCGGCATCATGAATATCAAGAAGATAAGAACAACAAACAGAAACATTTTCGCGGTTTTCTCGTTCTGTCTTTTTCTGCGCTGAATGGAGTGAGTTGCTTTGTCCAGTGCGCTGTGGAGGAGAGTCTGCCCCGAGCTGGTTGTTGAACTGCGCGATCTGTTTGTTTTCCCAGAACTAAGCTCAGCAGCTTTTCCAGTGTTTTTACAAAGTTTGAGGCCGATTCGCGTATAAACGACAGACATAATAACCAAAGGCAGTCCATATTGGAGCGCAAACAGCAGTACTGTGTACGCTTTGTTCAGCGAATAACCTTCGGGCCAATTTTCGCCACACGTTGGGGATTCCAAGCCAGCTGTGTATTTCAAAATGAGTACATAAGGTACAACTGCGACAGCAGAGGCAAAATGAATCGCTGTGATTATCTTAAAGCATTTACCTTTCGTGATGCGGTAACGCAGGTTAAGGGGGCAAATTATCGAGATGTACCGGTCAATTGATATCGCCACTAGAGTTAACGCAGCTGAGTTGGTTGAAAATGTAGCCAGTGGATAAATAATCCTGCATGGAACAGCTCCGTACGGCCAATAGCCGAGTTCCAGCTCTGGCAAGTCAAACGCTATACTTGAAACAGTAGTGGTAAGGTCGCAGGCTGCTAAGTTCGCTATGAATATCATTGGGACTGTTTTCATTTTCCGAAGCAAAACAACGGTTAGAATAACCAGTGTGTTCCCAGTTACGCTAAAGAGAAAGATGGAACAGAAGACTGCGTACCTTGCGATGTGGAGATCCATGGCGGCGGGTGTTTGCGATGTCGTGTTAAGCAAGTATTCAGCGCGCGTCCAAGACCTGTTAGCGTTGACAGTCGAATACAGCATCTCACCAGGACAGAAATGATCACAGTGCTACAAATCCACGAACAAGCAAAACGCTACACCAAGGCTGTGTTTCTGTTTATGTTAGACGTAACAGCTCCCTTTAAAAGGCGTGACTAAAAAAATACTGCTGAGTGTCCGACAGGAAGGTGGTAGGGAAAGGATCTTGTCTAAATTAACTGCCTTTTCATGGTTCACCCTGTCGATCAAACGCTAACATCGGACGCACAGTGAGCAAGACCGTGTAAACCGCACAGGAAACATTTGATAGGTACACTGGAGGTGAAACCGCTATGGCGCACTGATAATAATCTCGTTGCGACCACTCATCCGGCAAGAAAGAATTTTTTAAATTCTGATCAACAAAGTAAACAATGATTACATAAACTATAGACGGCGATTAATATGTTAAAAGTTTACTTTAAAGAAAGGAATCAGAAAAAAGAGGTCACGCTGCCAAAGAGACAACGAGTTATGCATACATCCGCGCAAATTTTGTCGTCAGTTGATGAAACCGTTGAGAGAATTTAATAGGCGCCAAGTGATAGACGTCTCGTGAGGTTTTTAAGGGATCAGTTTTAAGATAACGGATCCCTGGTTATGTCTTGAAATTTTTCGCAGGATTGATCTGTTTTTAAACGTTGAGGTCTTAGAGAGTCTTTCATGGCCTCGAGAAATCCTTGTTGACCTCTCGTTAGCCGAGCATGGTGACTATGTAACATTTAGCGACTTTATGTCAGCAGGCAATTGCTTACACCACATTGATAGCAGATAAATCATTTACGAAATTTTGTTGAAGAAATCTTAGTTTGGAAGAAGCAATGATTTCATCGCTCGGTCATTTTCGCACTCTGTGATTGTCTGAGCAATTAAAAAAAAAAAAAAAAAAAAACATATCCTTTGTAGCCCCATGGCAGTTGAATTCCTGTGGATGATTGCATTAAAGGGTTCGGTTCATCCCGGCTGGGTAAATGAAGGTAAAGATAACGTAATAACGTAATAACGACATACGTCACGAAATAAGGGTCACATTTAATTTTTCTCTTTGTTTCGGAATGTAGGGAGAATAAAACTGATTTTACAAATAATGGATAGTATTTGGAAAACAAGATTTAAATAATGTACCAGCGAACTTAGATTTGTATAAAAGAGCTCTGTGTAAAGAGTAATTTTCCAAAAATTAAAGCATGTAGATTCGTGAACATAAGGTTGATTTTTGAAACAAATATCATTGTTTGTATCCCTTAGCTACTGGATTTCCGGTTGAATTAAAACAACAACAACAACAACAACATCAACAATAAACAAAAACAGGCAGACCAACAAGCAAAGCAAAAAAAACAAACTTCAACAAAGCCACATCTTATAAACAGGTCTTTTCGTGCAGAGTGCTCGCAGTCCTTGTAAACCTACGCTATTAATTCGCATATTGTGAAGAATCCAGCGTAAACGAAAGCAGAACTAGTGGAATGGCGGATGAAATGAAGCCTTTCCTAGTTTTTCTCCTTTTATTTGTCGTGATCTGTTTGGCTTCACCAGTTCAGAACAGTGAGACTATGTCCAGTCAAATCCATTTCCCTCGGTTTTGGAGTCCAGTCCTTTTCAGAATAAGCTTCAAAGTTCAGACACGTCTAGTCCAGTCCAGTCCAGTCCAGTCATGGTGAGCATACGAGCTCACAAGCGCTGAAAACGCATCGACTGGAATCGCTTTGAGTTAGCTAAAATGAGTCTTATATCTGTCTCACTTTTTAGGTCAATCAGTCTCTCACACAAGGGTCAAGAGGTGTCCATCGCGAGGAAAATAACACGAAAATTTTGTTGTTGACGTAAATTTGGGATTTGTAGTACATCTTGGAAAACGCTCCAGCTTATCAGCTGCAATCCGCTATTGTCTCCCACATCTTTTATCGCCCTGACAAAAAGCGGAAGGCTTTTTCGTCTTATCAAGAGCGTGAGATGAAGAAACAATTCAGTATCCCCATGAGAAATTATTGAACCTCCGCGCCTCAATGCTCTACTACTAAGCTAAAGAAAATTATATGGTAAGCTTGGCTTTAATAGAAGGTAACTTGGCTCTATCAACTGAGTTAGTAGTGTAAATTGGCCACCGTAGAGATTTTTCTTAACCTGACATTTTGCTAATTATCCCTTCGTCATCCGCGCAAACGTCAGCTTTAGAAACTCTTTACGGTCAGGCAGAATTTACATCATCAACTCAATTGATACCGAGCTAAATTATCATGTAATCTTTCCCACCGACGTGTTTCCGCAGTCTCTTAAGAAACACCCCCTTAACCCATCTGTGGTAAGCTAGGCGTTTGCCAGAATATTCATGTGTGACAGTACACATGCGTACATACTGCAAGGATCAGCGATGTCGACAGCTTCGTAGAAGTAATTCTGAGCTCAAAAATGAAATAAAGAAAGATTTTATCTTTTCACGATCGTAGGACAAAGGAAAACTCTTCGTTCTCAGATATTCTTTTTTGGTTCGTTTCTTTCTCTCTGTAGTCTCTGCAGCCAACAGAAAACTTTCAACAATCGAAAAAAGAAGATTACAAAATTCGTGAAGTCCGCTGAAGCTCTTCTGCTTCTTAAACCAACCACTGCTTGGATCATAAAACGCTAACTCTGTAATCTTTTAAATGAGGGATTTTGCTTTAGGTGGCGAAAGCTTAACCAGCTTTTATCGTACGATAAGGGTTTCAGCACACGTTTTAACACGGATGTTAGAGGTGAAGAGGTTCCATTAATGTTGGCAAAAGATCACATTTTAGTTAAAATCCACGTTTAGTCTAATCATATTAGCAAGAACGGTAGAGATAGGAAGAGATTTTGCATGCATCATGGATTTCCGTGCAGCGGGTGAAACACGCCTCTTCGCACCTCGATTGTTGGCTGCTATTCCTTTCTGTTCTCTATTTTGTGACACTCAATCGTATTGCCTTTTTCGCAATTAATGATATCAAACCGCGAATTTAAAAAAAGAAGTTTCACCGTGATCAATGCATTTTGAAGAAGTAACCCTTATTTTATCGTGATCCATATTGCTACGCACTCACGGTAGAAAAAGTGATGTCCACGATGTAGTGAAGCCAGGTGGACAGTGGACCGCTGAGAAAACACATCATTAAAATGCGTCAATCGCAACGAACGAAAACCAACCAATTACCGCTCGGCATAACACTCAAAGTTGACGTCATTGCCTGAAGAAAACCAGGACTGTGAAGATACACGTCGGAACTGACCACTTGGTGACACAGACGATGTCGAAGATAACAGTAACGGTTCACGGTTACGTTATTCACGTGTCTCACTTGCAATCCTGTCCATGTAAATCTTCTTTACCTTCACTCATCCTGTTTCTATATACTTTTATTACTTGGATTCATATCGAAAGGTTTTCATGCGCTCACAGTTAGCTTCAGTGCTAATCTAGGCGGGTCGCAAGTTAGAAGTAAAACTGTTACATAAGCGTTCAAAAATTACTTATAATCTAATGATGTCGTTAATAGGACAAATTTACAGTTACAGAAGAAATAAATTTACCATATCATAAAGGAAATAGAACTACAAAGTTGCCTAAGGACTAACTAAGAATATAACATGTTGGCAGCTGAAAAACTCGCTTTAATTCGTTAAAAATTTCACGAAGGCTTGACCTTTTGGATGATTTGTTGAGTGACAATATAAGAGTCTTCTAAAGTGAGAATGTCGGAGTTTTCCTTTTATTTACTTTTCGAACTCAGCTCTTTGAAAGATTTCTCAATTGTAAGGGCATCTCATTCCAAACCTATTGCTCCAATTGTGGAGAAAGAACGTGCTCGAATGCACTTCTCACCAGTTCTCTCAAATCCTCTCGTAATTATCATTCTTGGCGGGGATGTGTCGCATCAAAGACCTCCACGTTGGGTGGTTCCGCATTGCAGACCCGAGTGTGCCTGTTCAATCCCTGTGTCTTAAAATGACAGCTGAGAATTGGTCGCATGCCAGGTCAAATTCTGATTTCTCTTCATTATTTCGCCGCATTGATACAACGAAAAAAAAAAATCTAGTTGCATCCACAAAATATGACGAGCTGTACGAGAATCCCGGTAAAATCAGGAGATTCGCAAAGGTGGAAATGCAAATGTAACAAATCGATGGTAAAGGGAAACGAGTTAACACGCCGCAAGTTGTAAGTTTGACGATTAGCTAAGCTTTAATTTCGGTAAGGGTGCGACTTCGAGGGTGTAGTCAGTTTGAGAGCCCAGCTAACATGAATTGCTGAATAGTGGGGCATACCAGGTTGCAACAGAATGGTCCTTTATAGAGTGTGCACTTGTCAATAACTAAAAGCATTAAATTTCTCTTGATAACTACTGTTTCCAAACTGTAACATATTTTATTGTTGCCGAACATCGACAAAATTTCCTTTTGTCAATCTTAAACAATTTCCAATCTAAGTACCTTATATGGTTAAAGCCATTTAAATAAAAATATTCAACTTGTTCTTAGCCGCAAGGGATACCAGCTTGCCTAAAATAAAATGTGAGGAAACTTCACAAACGATACCACTAACCACCGGAAAAACCGAGCCTGACCGGCCGATTAAATCCATAATCGATCAAAATCGATATTGGTCGAGGCCAATTAACAAAATTGATCAACGAAATTGATGAACAAATGTGAAAGAACATTTCTAGATTTTAAAGATTATCTATTTACTTCGATTTAATCGAATATAAAGAGGATTTTAAAGGGCTGCAATTGGATGCGAATTTTATCTTCGAATGTTGATAATATCCCTACCAGGTGAGGTAAGAGACAGGTTGACAGGTGTCGGTCATGCAAAGGCGGATAAGTGATTTTCTGTACATTTTATAGATATTGTTGAGAGATTCAAATGAAACTTCACTTGAAAGCATATTCCGAAAAAACCTAATGGGTGATCATCTTCATACAAACTTGGCTCGTTCAGAGGGCAATCACCAAATATGTCGCTTAGACATGAAACTCAGTGTTCTATCTGTTTTCTCTTCGAAACTTAGCTAGTACACCTATGCCACCCTGAGGGATTTCCCTCTCTCTTTTGGAAACCTGCTTCGAATATGCAACGGTTTAAGACGGAGTCGGAAATGTACCCGAAGGACGAGAAAGGTCATCACACTTGGAGGCACAGGATACACAGCTTAAATCAAGCGTCGGATCCAAAAAGTTGTTAATTAATCAAGGTCTATCGAAAGTAAGCGATAAGAATTGAAGATAGTCCAAGACAATAGAATG